CCAGACCGAGGCCATGGTGGGAGGGAGGGGTTGAGCTGCAGGAGGAGGGAGGGGTGCCTGGTGGGTGTGGTTTCCACGGGAGGTAGGAGGGAGGGGGGAGGGAGGGGTCCTGGGAGGGCAGGCAGCTCCTTGCAGGTGCACAGGCTCTGTGTGCACACGGGTGTGTGCGGTAATTTGCATGCATGGCACACACACACGCACGCACACACACGGCTGCATCTGCACGCATGTACATGGGCATCTGTGCATAGTATAGGCGCTGCTGTGTACCCCCAGGTGTACATGTTTGCCTGCAGGCGTGTACCTGTGGATTTGAAGGCGTGTGCATATATGCGCCTCCATGTGTATGCACGTGCCTTCGAGCATCTCTGTGCATATATGCACGTGTGTGCATGTGTCTGCCAGTGAGCACACGGGTGCATGTCTAGTTTGCGCGTGCACCTGCGTGTGTATAAAACGGCGTGTGCAGCCCTGACCGGTGTGGCTCAGTAGATAGAGCGTCAGCCTGCGGACTGAAGGGTCCTGGGTTCGATTCCGGTCAAGGGCATGGACCTGGGTGGCGGGCACATCCCCAGTGGGGGGCGTGCAGGAGGCAGCTGATCGATGTTTCTCTCTCATCGATGTTTCTAGCTCTCTCTTCCTCTCTGTAAAAAATCAATAAAATATATTTAAAAAAGGTGTGTACGCAGCTGTCTGCATGCATGCATGCACGGTGTATGTGCACACCTACACGTCTGCATGTATGTGTTCCTCGTGTGCTTGCCTGTGCACGCACACACATGTGCCACGCGTGCACACACACAGTTGCATGCACAACCGTGTCTGCATGTGGGCACACACTGCGTGTGCATGCATGCAGGTGCCTGCTGCTACATCCATGCATGTGTGCCTGCATGCCACGTGTGTACACACATGCATGCGCCTGCCTGTGTGCACATGTCCGCATGGCATGCCCAGGCGTGGGGGCTGGTTTGTAGGCACGCTTGCACAGATAAACATTTGCTGGTGTGTACACAGCTCTGCACACGTGTGTGTCTGTGCACGTGTGTCTGTCCGGCTCCCTCACGGCCAGACACCCGACACCACGCGCCAGGAAAATCGCCAGGAAACGCCGTGATGACAAAGCCGGGGAAGGAAGTGTAATTAACGGGGAGCAATCAGGGCGGACAGCGCTTCCTGGAGGGACCCGGTTCCTGTAACCGGACCCTGCGTTGTGCCAACATCCCAGCCAAGGTCATAACCCGGGGTTCCCCGAGTCCCCCTCCTCCTTGGATGGGGGGCCACCCTGAGCCAGGGTGACCTGGTCTCAGACCCCCCCAATGGGCCCCCCCCTCCATCCCTTCCCACCCTGACTCCTCGTTTTGCAAACATCTATTATTTATATTTTTAAAAAATGTATTTTTTAATTGATTTCAGAGTTAGTATAGATTGATTTCAGAGAGGAAGGGAGAGAGAGAGAGAGAGACATCCATGATGAGAGAGAATCATTGATCGGCCGCCTCCTGCACGCCCCCCACTGGGGATGTGCCCGCCACCCAGGTCCATGCCCTTGACCGGGATTCGAACCCGGGACCCTTCAGTCCGCAGGCCGACGCTCTATCCACTGAGCAACACCGGCTGGGGCTACATCTATTTATTTTTTAAAAAAATTATTTTACTTATTTATCTGCTTATTTATTTGGTTAACCGTCACCGGAAGATATTTTTCTATTGATTTTTAGAGAGAGCGTGGAACCCATTGATTTTTAGAGAGAGTGGAAGGGAGGGAAGGAGGGGGGCAGAGAGAGAGAGAGATACATGGATGTGAGAGAGACGCATCAATGGGCCACCTCCTGCACGCACCCCCCGACCAGGGCCCTTGACCCAGCCAAGGTCATAACCCGGGGTTCCCCGAGTCCCCCTCCACCCGGCTGGGTCGCTGGGACCCTGTCCTTGGATGGGGGGGCCACCCTGACCCAGGGTGACCTGGTCTCAGACCCCCCCAATGGGCCCCCCCCTCCATCCCTTCCCACCCTGACTCCTCGTTTTGCAAACATCTATTATTTATATTTTTTAAAAATGTATTTTTTAATTGATTTCAGAGAGGAAGGGAGAGAGAGAGAGAGAGAGAGAGAGAGAGAGAGACATACATGGTGAGAGAGACATATTG